TGTGTGTGTGAGAACCTGTGTGTCTCTCTGTCTGTCTCTCTGTCTCTGTCTCTGTCACACACACACACACACACACACACACACACACACACACACACACCTCTGTATTCATTCATTCATCAGACATACTTGGTAATGGCTCTTTGCCAGGTGGGTCTCCACAAGGGGCCCAGTTCCAGTCTTGTCCTTCTTTATCCATGTGCCCCTAGTGCCTCTCTGATACAGAGTGGCCAGTACAGAGAGGGATGATTTCTTTCATGATCCCACTGAATGCACTCAAATACCAGGTCCAGATTAGGCATGTTTGGGCCATTTGTGACAATTTACTTAGTGAGTTCCATGAGATGGAAAACAGAAACTACGCAATTATGAGACTACATAAAAACAATATGTCATGTATAGTTTCCGAAAGTCAGGTATATTGAGGTATAATTTACATACAACAAGACTCATCATTTTTAATACATACTTCTGGTTTGACAAACCAGTAGATAGATGGATAGCCAGCTTTCATGGAGATTCAGGGCCTTCCTATCACTGTAAATATACTTACCTATCATTTTTTGCCAGAAGGCTGATTAATCAACCCCCACTAACGCGGCAATACTTGGAAGACTTGCCTATATTTTAACTATAACAAAGGAATCATTTATTTCCCCATCAACACTTATTTATGGACCACAGATATGGGTTGCTAGATACAGGGCTGAAAGGATGATCAAGACAATGCTTTGAAATGTACAAGTCCTTGTCAGCGTTGGGTCTGGTGGGCTGCTGCTGGGATTAAAGGATGGGGAGCTTGACCCTGAGAAGAGAAATGGAAGGGGAAACATCCCTAGGAGTGTGAGAGGTGAGTGGGAACTTAGACAGGGCTATGCATGTGCCTGTGTACATATGTATAGATGACTGGGTAAATTTGTGTGTTTATATGTGTGTGTGCATTGGATGCACATATGTGTATATATGGATGTACTGTGTATATATATTTATGTGTTTGCATGCACTATGACTCTGTGTGTGTGTATGTGTATTTGTACATGCACACAGGCCCTGGGACAGCACCCTAGGTATATGTTTATATGACAACTACCTGAGCACCAGGGGTCCCAGGGATGCAGAGATGGGACAGATCCAGGCTGGAGGTGCTCCGCACTGCCAAGTTGTCCTCCCATGGGTGGCCTGGAGTCCTGGCTCTCTTCTTGCCATAGCACACAGCACTGGCACTCTGGAGCAGAGGGCTTGCTCAGCCCTGTTATATCCAGAAGCCATTGATTTCACGTGGCAATTTAAAACCAACAACAAGGCTAGTGAACTTGAGGGAGTAAACATTTAATTTTATTTATCATGAATTTAACTATAAGCAAGTCCAGAGGGGCCACCACTGGGTGCTCATTTAAGATGTGGGTTAGCAAGTATGGTTTCTCATACTCTGTGCTCCCATGCAAGGGTGAGGGTGGTAATCTGGGCTAAAGTATTTTCTGTGTCAATGAGGTGACCTCTCCCTTGCTTTGCCTAGGTTGGAGATACCGGGTTTCCCTGACACTGTCTGGAAGAACAGTCACTGGGCAGGTCAGAGTGGCTCTGTTTGGAAGCGAGGGCAATACTCAACAGTACGATATCTTCAGGTAATCCCTGTGGTGTGCACAGCACTAAACGTTTATGATTTTAGACATCCATGGGTTTGAAGCTACTTTATGTACAGAAAATAATTTTATACTTCCAATAACTTTTAATTTAAACCTAAACATTTCTTTCTCTCTTGATATATTATACTTTAAAAATCTATTATTGTTCCAGATAATACATGTTAAGCTAAGATGACAACTTGCAATATAGATGATTCTTCTAGAAAAAAAAAAACTAAAATATTTTGAGAGAGTTTTATCATTTTCTACAAAAAAAAAAAGAAAGAAAAGCAATCCAAAATAGTAGATTGAGGTTGCCAGCTTATTGCCAATATTCCTTTCCTCCATCTTTGATTTGAGGATGCATTTGGAAGAAGACTCATTATTATAAGTTAGCTAAGAGTGGAGGGTCACGGTCTTCTGTGGTCATCACAATGTGCTTCCATAAACTGGAACATTTCTCCTTCTTTATTTCAAGGGGCATTTTGATGCCAGGTGCTACGCATTCCAGTGAGTTTGATGCCAAGCTTGATGTGGGAACAATTGAAAAAGTCAAGTTCCTTTGGAATAATCACGTAGTAAACCCAAGCTTCCCCAAAGTGGGTGCGGCCAAGATCACTGTGCAAAAGGGAGAGGAGCGGACCACGTAAGTATCTTCATTTGCTGAGTTGTCTCAGGGTGTTTGCAGAGAATGTCTGTAGGGGAACCCCTCCCCTGGGACAGATAAGAAAAGAGGAATCATTTGACAGAGGACAAAGAAAGCACAGAAGGGACAGGACTTGTGGATTCCCATCCCACCCATAGCTTCCTCTTTCCCTGCCTGAGTAGGCACAGGACCTTCAGTAGAAAGAGGGAAGCTGGAATGGAGACGAGATGATAACCCGGGGAGGCAGAATAGAGCTCCACCCCAAGTCAGCCTGCAGAACTTTGGAGGCTTTGTGGGAAGTGTCGGTTACTGGTGTTTGGGGGATTAGAGGGGGGAGCAAACTCAAGACCCTTGGAAATATCACTTCCTCAGGTGGGGAAGAAAGGTTGTCAGAGTGGCCTGTGGCTGATCCATGGGTCACCAACTCGGGTGGACTTCTGAAGTCTCCCCTATTCCCATAAGGTGGGAAAGCAGGGCCATCAGACTGGTCAGGTGACCAGCAGGACTACAGCACAGAGGAGGCCCAGGCTGACCAGTGGAGAGCCTTCCCTCCAGCCTCCACTGGAAGATGCTGTCTCTAGAGTCAGGTCCTAAGGTCTGTTAATTATACGAGGCCTGGATCCTGCAACTGTGTGGCTAACTGCACTTTAGAATGTCACTGAAATGCCGGAGGTTTCTGAAGAAAGATGTACACTTTCTGGAAGTCAAACAGATCTAGTTGAAGCAAACTCCTGAGGCCCTAAGGCCTGAGCCCATCTATGTCGATAAGCCCTCCAGTGGTTGAGCACAGCAGCTTTGCCTACTCGCTCTCTGTGCGGAAAAATCTCTCTTAAAGTTTTTATACATTTATTTATTGGGGTATGTGTGGATATGCCATGGTGCACACAAACTCAGAGGCCAGCTTGCCGGAGCCTTGTGAATTCTGGGGGACAAACTCAGGCCGGCAAGGTGTACCTGCTGAGCCATCCTACTGACCTAAGAATCTCTCAAACAATCTGACACCAAGGGGTTAAATATAAGAAAGTCAAAACCCACTCCAAATGACACAAACTAGCTTGGGGAATAAAAAATTCAACTAGTAAATCATTCAGTCATTCTACTGTTAGGAGAATTGCCAGGAACACTTGTGACTAAATAACACCAATAATAATTATAAAGTTAGAGAGCAATCAATACTGTGACTCAACCTCTTCCGGTTTCCTTTCCCATGAAATCTGATGTAGTCATCTCAGTGGGATTCCAAGTGCTACCTAGGACCTGCTGACTGGACTTTCTTCCAGTGACATGAGACCAAAAGAAAAATAGAGCCCTTCCTGCCTTTCCTACCCCATTCCACTCAGTACCCACTGTAAATGTGACTGTGACAAAGAGTCCATGGGGACCTATTCTGGAAAACAGCCAGGAAAGCAAAGGCAGAGCCTGCATCAAGAAAAACAAGACCTTGGGTGCACATGGCCGATCACATGACCCAGGAGGCACAGAGTGCTGGGGAGACTGGGGGAGGAAGGAAGGGCAGGGGTGGCATGAACTGCTGAGGGGCCAGCAAAAGGAAGCCAGGCCGTGGAGACTTGAATGCTGGGACTCCAGGTTAAAACTTCCAGGAAAGACCCACTCAGGAGAGGAAGATGGGGGAGGCCGACAAAGACTAGTAGTTGTGTTAGGGTTGCTTACGGGAGCATGGAGAAAGGGTGATTCAGAGATGCATGGACACCTGGCCGGTGGCTACACGGGTCAAAACAAACCAAACCATAACAGCTGGGACATGATGTTAGCGCCCACTCATTGTCAGGTGGAAGGCCTCAGAGAAATCCCTGGTTCTCCCATAACCACAGAGACGGTCACTTGTGTCTGCATTAGCTTCATATTGGAGACCTTTTCCCACTTATTATCATAAGCTGTTGAATAACTGTTATGGGAGTCTCAATAACACCAGAGGGAACGCTCCTCTTCAAATGAAGATACCACCGAGCAACAGGTAGTGTCATAGCTGGAAGGTGGGAGAGACATGGGGGACCCCAGGAGAAAGCCAGACTGGGTGATACTACAACAGAAAATATGGACTACGGCGTAAGGCGGACTTGTACTTGCATCTCGGACTTTTACCTTACACAGAGCCTTCTGTGCCTCTTTCCTCTCCTGTGAGGCGGGGCTGATCATAGGACCTCATCACCCACGGGTAGTGTAGTTTACATACGTGAACTCTTTGGTGTATTTGCCTCCAACTGAGAATTCAGTCTGTCGTAGATACCACGGCATTCGGCTGAGTACTGAGAACAGCATTAGTGACTGTCTCTGCATCAGTCTACTGTGGCCACCAGTATCTGTTAAAATGAGGATAGGGATGGTGCTGCCTTAGGAGGCCGTCGTCTATATATGACAGGACCAGTGACAGTGTCACCTCAGAGCAATGGCAGGCCCTGCCCTGGGCTGGGTGGGCTTCTCACTGGAGACTCAGAGGGTGGCGGCCCTGCCATGCCTCTCCCAGGTTCTGCATTGCCTCACGTAAACTCTGCCTAACACTCAGGTAGCAGTAGCTTTCCTATGGGTGACAGAGCACGCCAGTGCCAAACACTGTGTCTCCTTACAGGTACAACTTCTGTAGTAAAGACACGGTGAGAGAAGACATTCTGCTCACTCTCTTGCCTTGTGACACCCCAGACGCCATGTGACCTCATCAGTACCAATAAAAATCCTCTGCTGCACATAACCACACAGCGTCTGTCTCAGATGTCAGCTGCCACCCATGGGGACATTCAGCAACTGAATATTAAAAACGCTGATGAGCATTTCTCTGTATGTGGGTCTCTCACCTTGGCATCCAACAAAGCACCACCTCACCCCACTTCCTTGGTCTCCTCCACACTCGCTGTTTTCTCTCCCTCAGAGAAGGTGTAGATTTGCAGCATGAGTAAAGGGTGAGCAGTCAGAAATCTGCAGAATCTTTGTCCTCACTGTGCTATCTTAGCGAGAAACTGAGGCAGAAAGCAGGGAGGTTGTACACTCACACATGCACTAAGGCCCCCACCAGGAGTGAGGGCCAAGCTCAATGTCAGTGTCCTTCCCCACCCAGATGCTGACTGTGGAGTCATGGAAATACTTTATGATGTCCATTTCCTGGCATTTTAGAAGTGATTAAAGGGTTTTGGTTGAAGGAAACCCTATGGTGGCTCTTGTTGAGAAACCCAGAGACTCATGGAGCTCATGTGCACATCCAGCCCCTCTAGACTACAAGTCAGGCTCCCTCCCTGCCTGCCTGCTTTCAAATAATGAAGGATCCAGGATGGATTCTAGGAGATGCACAATGCAGACTTCCTGATAGAATTATGATGCAGACTTCCTGCTAGAATTATGATGCAGTCTTACTTCCTTCTAGAATTACTGGGGAGCTCTCAGTTGGGTATTCCTGACATAATTGCACTCACACAGACTCAGGTACATGTGGGCACTTCCAAGGTGACCCAGTGTCATGAGGATGCTCTATCTGAAACAGCCAGATGTACCTGTGACTTTCCACAAAGCCAGATATGTTGACTAACAATAAATGAACAAGTCATGTCAGCTTTCTTGGGTGAAGTTCACCGAGTGCCCCTGGCTTTGCTTGATCGTCACAGCCATGGCCACGGACTATCACAAGTCCTTTCACTCTGGTCTTATTTGCTAGTATTAGTTATCAGATCTTACTTTACAGTTTACACCCGATAATTGGGCCTGGTCAGAAGTTGTATGAACCATAGCACAGAGCTGCTCAAAATGCAGACTTGTCAAATGCAGGTGCTGGTGTCGGGCTGTTCCAAATATCACTGTAAAGTGGACTGGGTGTCATGGGCAGGAGAGGCCTACACTAGAGCTCGAGCTGGGGACACAAGGAGCAGTGGTGGTCATTTTCCCTGATGGAGGCTTGTGCCAAAGAACTAGATGATGAGCCAGCCTACCTGCCACATCTCAGTCTTGGAGTGCCCCTTGCATAGTCCTGGGTCCGGAGTGACTCATAAGCTCATACGTCTAGAGTTCCTGGGGCGGTGGATGGGTCCTGCAGAGGGTGTAAAGGGGGAAGGAAGTGAGCCAGGCCATGGTGATTGGGAGAATCTTGCAGCCTGACTGACTAGCAGCCAGAGTGTTTCTTTATTTATAAATAATTTAGTTAGCAGGGATGCATTCATGATGTTCTGAAACATAGATCATATCATCTTTGTTTTTGGACATGTAATTCACTTCCTTTTGCTCATCTTTTAGTCATCATTAATAAACTATGACAGAACAGAGTTATCATTTCCAATCGTTTCCCCCCAAGTTTTGACATCTTTAATAAACAGTTATCATTCTTACTCATAAACCCCATAACCCAATTTTTGAGAATCTAGAGGCATACGACAGCCTGTGCTCAGGCTGGTTGTTTTGGTTGCTTCAAGGGCACTAGACCAAAATCAACCACCCTGGGCATTTTGCCATGTCCCAAACAGTGTATTATTAACTCTTAGTGGTCAGAGTGCCCAGGAAAAATCCTCAGGCTAAAGCTGCAGTTATTACAATCAATGTTCACATTTATATCTTTATAGAATTGGTCTATATGTCTAATCCTGGCATTCTGTTGTTGCTTGGTCATGTGACATTGTAGTGGCTCTGCATGAGATAACTTCTAAGAGAGGGAGGTCCTGACATCTTGTACTTGTATCATCTTTCCACTCCATACTTGACTTATCAATATGTCTCTATGTAGAGCAGGGTTGTATGCTACGTAACTGTCTGAGTGTATGGTGGGAAGAGGCTTGTAATCTGAACTGTGGACAATTCCTCTAGCCCACCAAATCTTGTTGACTGTAGATGTAACTGTCTTGTTAAATAAGAAACACAGAGCCAATGCAGAGATGAAAGCCCAAGAGGTCAGACCTTACCCTTCACTAATGCTGCTGTCCTTCTCTCTGCAAGAGACCTCCTTCCTGTGTCTCTGTCTTCTTATAGACTTTCTGTTCTGCCTTCTCATTGGTTGTAAATCCAACCACATGACCTCCTCATCACTGCCCATCTATATGGACCTCCAGGTCTTCTATGGTTGGTACTGAGATTAAAGGTGTGTGTCTCCATGCTGGTGGTATCCTTGAACACACCAAGATCTGCCTGTCATGTGATCGGGATTAAGGGCGTGTGCTACCACTGCCAGACTTCTGCTATGGCTTGCTATTAGCTCTGACCCCCAGGCAACTTTATTTATTAACATACAAATAAAATCACATTTCAGTACAAATAAAATATCAGCATATTTCCCCTTTTCTATTTTTATAAAAAGGAAAAAGTTATAACTAGCATAAGAAAAACTATATTCAAAAATACAATAACTATATACCATATATACAAGCAATAAATTCCTAAAAAAATGTCTAGTCCATTTGTATTTGACAAATTCAGAGAAAATAATTCCATTTTCTATCCTATTTTAGTAAGTCCAAAATGTACCTAATTCACTTTCTATCCTAACTAATCTTCAACTATAGCTAACTAATCTTCAACTATAACTAACTAATTTTCAACTCCCTCAGACCCAAGAGGGAAATAATATTACCTAACAAAAATAAAAACAGGAAGTGCATGCAAGCAACTTCCAAAAAAAAAATGTGAGTTGACAGAAACAGCCAGCTGCCTGGACAGTCACCCAAGGTTTCTCCACAGTGTTGGGGCATCATCTTCAGCCTATAGGCTTAGCATATCTGACAGACTCATTTGTGAACTAGGATGTATACAAGGTCAACAGTTTGACCTCACATTGGGTGAAAGCAGTCCATGTACCAGAAACACCTGAATTCCATTAGTGTCATGTTATGATTCAGGATTTTAAATTCTGGAAATTGTTGATGATTTTTTAATTCAGCTGTCCATTCTTCTTGGCTGTGTGTGTATGTGGCTTCATCTCAGCACCCTGTTCTTCTCCACATCCCTCTATTAAATGCCAGTCTATCATTGAGAGGTGTGAGCTTAGTTACTCTTCAAGAATAACTGTGGTGGTAATCTAATTGTACTGAAATATTATTTTGATTGTATGTTAATAAATAAAGTTGTCCGGGGGTCAGAGCTATTAGAGCCATAGCAAGAGTGTGGCGGTGGTGGCACACGCCTTTAATCCCATAGATCTCTGTGTGTTCAGGGATATAGCCAGCATTGGAGACATATGCCTTTAAGACCTAGGGGGCTGTACATTCAGACAGTGACGGGGCAGTCATGTGTTTGGGTTTACAACCAATGAGAAGGCAGAACAACATACTATAAAAAAAACGAACAGACAGGAAGTAGGTCTCTTTCGCGAAGCTGGGACAGCAGGAGGAAGGGTGAGATTTTAGCTCTGACCTCTGACCTCTCGGCTTTCTCTTTTACATTGTTTCTGTGTTTCTTATTTAATAAGACGGTTGGTTACATCTACAAATAACTGTTTCAGCTGCTGTTCCACTGCACATCAGAAGCCATCGGCCCACGGCCTGTTCAGCTGCCTTTGGAGAAAAGGGCACTGTACCTTTTCCAGATTGCAAAGGCCACTTCAGGGATGGTTCCATATTGTCCTGGCCTCAGAAGATGCCTTTTGATAAAGCCACAACCACACTTGTCTTGGCAAGAATCAGTAGTCCTTAGTTTCGTGTCCTGTCTGTCCATTTTGTCCTGTTTGTCAGGAGTCGATTCAAGGATACTTTGTTGTCCAGTGGCTAACTTTTGCCACAATGAAAGTTAACTCCATATGCAGTTTCTTCAATGCCCATATTTTCTCTGAAGTAGATTGGTACTGACAGGAGCCGACATGTCTCGTAGTCATAACAAAAAAGAAAAATTTTCTGAGTTATTAAAACATTTTAAATGCCATATTCTTTAGATCTCTGAAGGGTTTGAAGATGACCTGTCTATCTACAATACATCTGCTCATCTTGAAAACATACATAATATGACTACAAGTTCTATTGTTATGTCTAACTACTAACTTTCATTTCTTTTTATCCTAATAGTTGGTAACAATAACATTCAAGAATCAGCAAATTGCATTACATTGTTAAATGAATGGTATAAGTACAATATCTTGAACAAAATTAGAAATATACATATAGCATTTTCTAACAATATCAATTTCAATATATATAATTTGTATACAATATAAAAAAATCCAATCCAATGTAAAGTATTTAAAACTAGTAATTGTCTTTTTCTTTTCTTTCGTTTTTTTAACAAGAACCTTAAATCTAATCTCCTTTGCTTAGCCCTTTTCCTAACCCTTAACAACAACTTGTAACCAACCCTCCTAAACAATGAAAATTATCCCAGACTCAAAAACCATTAAAAGACAAAAAAAAACCACCTGGCCCACACCACCTTTTTGGGAATGTGGGCATCGTATTCTTAAAATTGCTTCCTGCTGGATATGGGTGAAGGTGTTTTTATTCTGAAAAGAAAAATGTGGGGTTAATTGTCAAATTCTAGGAAATGTAGCTATATCCTTCATTGTCCAGTTTGAGCATAATGCCAAAGTTCAGAGTTTATCTCAAGTTCTTATTCCAGTAGTCTTTGAAACTGGATCATCTCAGCTAGCCCTCTCAAAATTGCTCTGAGCACTTTGTAATCCAAAGCTTATCTGTAGATGATGTTTGTCAGCTTAGTGGTATTATTATTGTCCACATGGAATTGTTGTTGTGGGCTGGAGAGATGGCTCAGTGGTTAAGAGCACTGACTGCTCTTCTAGA